TATTGTACATAAAGTATATTTGCACAAACAGAATAATAATCTTGACAGATTAATAACAACGTTCAAGGAGTATATATTATTATAATGTTGAGTGGTAGACACTCCAAGCAAATACAATGCAGGCTAAGAAATTCCACAAGGCTTTGGTATAAACAAACAGTAATAACACAGGGGTCTGAAATTCGAGGTGAATACAGTACTATTCAGGCATACACCTAAAAAAGGAACAAGCCAATAAATGTCCCAACTAATGGCCATATAATGTGAGGGCATGGAAGGAGAAAGAAATGTCTGCAGTTTCATCCTCTCACCATTTGTAGGTATCTCTTAAATGAAACACGCATAGAGCCACCAGTCCCAAACTATATAAAGAGCTGTAAAATATGGGGCAATCTTAACCACTTGCCAACTGTGCTATAGCTGAATGATGGCTACAGCGTGGTTGTCTAGTTCTGGGAGGGCATCATATGGAGTCCTCCCAGAATGCACCCTCCAGTGCTCCCCCCAGTGGTACACACCCAGCGCTCTCCATGATCGCAATGTCCGATGGACACAGCTGATCACATGATGAGTTAAAAGGCCAATCACAGCCGCCTTTTACCACCAGACCATCTGTGTCCAATGACACAGCAGATCACAATGTAAGCATGAGGAAAGTACTGCCGATAACCAGCAAATGACACAGAGAACATCTGCACTGATCCTCAGGGCACTGGTCAACAGTGCCCTGATTATCAGTGCCTAGCAGTGCCACCCACCATTGCCTAGTGCCACCCATCAGTGCCACTCATCAGTGCTGCCCAGCAGTGCCACCCAGCAGGTGCACCCATCAGTGCCCAGCAGTGCCGCCCATCAGTGCCGCTAGTCAGTGCCATCAGTCATCGCTGCCAATCAGTGCTGCCCATCAGCGCTGCCTATCAGTGCCCATCATTGCTGCATATCAGTGCAGAATCATCAGCACCTCCTCATCAATGCTTACCTGTGCTGCCTCATCAGTGCCACCTAATCAGTGCAGCCTATCAGTGCCGCTCAGTGCTTCCTATCGGTGCCACCTCATCAGTGCCCATCAGTACTGTCTATCAGTGCAGCTTCATCAACTTACACCAGTGAAGGAAAAAAATTACCTGTTTGCAAAATTTTATTTGTTTTTAGTGCAAAAAATAAAACACCAAGTGGTGATTAAATACCACCAAAAGAAAACTCTATTTGTGTGAAAAAAATATATAAAAATTTAATATGGGTACAATGTTGCATGACCGAGAAAATGTCATTCAAAGTGCGACAGAACTGAAAGCTGAAAATTGGCCTGGGCACGAAGGGGGTAAAAGTGCCCGGTAGGCAAGTGTTTTAAAAAAGAAAAGAGAGAAACAGATTTAAAAAAGGTGGGGGGGGGTTAGGGTGAGGGAGGAAGCAAGGGAAGAAAGGAAGGGAAAGGGAGAGCCTTCTCTTCAGTTTTGGGTCTTAATTTGAATCATCTTCTTATGCACTACAAGAACGAGAAACAAAGGTGTTTTCTCCAGTGTGGAGATGATCAAATGTCCATCTAAAATAAACCTACTCCAGGACAATTAGCCAGTCATGACCACTTTGTAGGCATCTGAGGTTTGGTAGTCCATCCAGCAAGCCCACACCTTGTTAAATTTTGCTATAGAGATAGCTATTAACGCCTCTATTTCAGCTATCCTATTAACTCTCAGGAACCAGTCTTTCAGAGATGGAAGAGAGGCTTGTCTCCAATACAATGGCACACACTGCTGAGCAACATTAATCATATGCATAGTTAAAGATTTATGAAATGCATGTCCCATAACAGAGGAATGATTCAATAGGAATCGAGCAGGTGTAAACTCCAGGGGCTATGAGGTTACTTTGGAAACAACATCATGCACCCTTCACCAATATATTTGGAGTTTTGGACAACTCCACTATATATGGAGGAAGGTCCCAACATTCTGTTCACATCTTCAGCATTTGTCTGGTATATTAGGTGACATTTTATGTAAAACCGAAGGCACTCTATACTTTCTGGAGTAAACATTATAACAATTTTCCTGTATAGCAACATTCAAGGAGCCCTAGTGTAATGTCAGACTAGCCGCTGTCCATTCCTCTTCAGAAAGTGAAGTGGGCAACTCCTCATTCCACGATAGCATTGCTATATCTTGGCTGGAGTGGCCATAATTAGCCAATATCATATATATGCTGGTAGGTGAATTGGCTCCTAGTATGTGTATGTATGTAGGTGAGTTAGGGACCTTAGATTGTACGCCCCTTGAGGGTTAGGGACTGATGTGAATATACAATATATATGTAAAGCGCTGCGTAAATTGATGGCGCTATATAAGTACCTGAAATAAATAAATATATTGAGCAGATAAGGTAACTTTTAAGAGAGCGGGACAAACATAAGTCCGCAAAGGTAGTTTAAGGTCTCTCCATCGCCTCTCTCCTAGAAGAACTAGTCAAGAAGGAATATCTCTGTAGATAGGACCTAATCAGAAAAGTAGGCTTCCCTGTCCAGGATGAAAGGAAATGCCGAGAGATAAATGCACCCTTCACAAAAAATTCACCTACTTTGGAGTTCTGCTGAAGGGCACATTGCTGGAAAAAATAAGTTCACAGACCAGGAATGATGTCAGGGTCTTGAGCAATTGAGGCCATGGGGCCTGAAATGAAAGATATAGAGGTTGATCTAAACAGCATTCCGAAGCAACTTATTGTGGACGGAATCAATGGGTGATCTTTTAATGAAATACTGGAAATAGATCTGGCATTCTACAGAAGCAAAGTCGAAGAGATAGAGGAAAATGCTTGTTCCTGGGACACCCATGATCTAAGGTCATCATGGGTGTGTCAGTCAACCATACATACCATAAGACATTCCTAATAATAACGTTTAACCACTTGCCCTCTGGAAGATTTACCCCCGTAATGACCAGGAAATTTTCTTTCTTATTGGCACTGCACTATTTCAACTTGTAATTGCGCTGTCATGCAATTCTGTGCAAATGATGTCCTTTTTTTCACACAAATAGACCTTTCTTTTGGTGGTATTTGATCATCAATGTTTTTTTTTTATTTTTTTTGTGATATAAACAAAAAAAAACTAAGCAAAAAAAAAACATTTTTTTTATTTTCGGTTATAAAAATATACAGTATAGTAAACTCAAAGTTAGTCATAAATTTAGGACAAAATGTTTTGCTACATGTCTTTGGTAAAAAAAAAAAACCAATACATGTATATTAATGGGTTTGTGTGAAAGTTATAGCATCTACAAACTATAGTATATATATATATATTGGAATTTATGCAGCATTTACTTTCTGACAGCCTATCACATTTCTTGAGGTGCCAAAATGCCAGGGCAGTAAAAAACCCCCCAAATTACCATTTTTTTGAAAGTAGACACCCCAAGGAATTTGTGGAGTCCATGAAACATTTTATTTTTTGCCACAAATTTATGGAAAATTACAAAAACATTTTTTTGCAATGTGTATATGTTGAATAACACCCCAAAACATATTCTGCTACTTCTCCTGAGTATGAAGATGCCACATGTGATAGACATTTTGGCAGCCTAGCCACATACATGCCCCCAAAATCCAATGACCACCTCCAGGCTTTCAAAGAGCATATTCCTCATATCACTTCCTCACTACCTATCACAGTTTCAGAGGTCCTAAAATTCCAGGATAGTATACCCCCCCCCCCCAAAAATTACCCCTTTTTGGAAAGCAGATGCCTCAAGGAATTATATAAGAAGCATGGTGAATATTTTGCAAAAGAATTTTTGTCACAGGGTTTTGAAAAGAATAAAATAAAACATACATTTTCACTTCCTATCTTCGTTTTCCAAAAACTTGTAGCAACAAATGAGATCTACTAAATACTCACCATGCCTCTTAGCAAATACCTTGGATTGTCTACTTTCCAAAAAGTGCTAATTTGGGGGGGGGGGGGGGGGGGTGCTTCTGTTATCCTGGCATTTCAGGGTCAACAATTGAAGACCAAACCTTTCGGAACACTTTTTTAAAGCAGAGTCCCTAGAGAATAAAACAGTTGGTGTTGAAATTTTTTTTATCACACAGTATTTGTTCAGCAATTTTTCAAACACAAATGTTTTTGGAAAAATACACTTTTTTTAGAATTTTAATGCACAAAAAACGCAATATATTTCCCAATTGTTTGATATAATATAAAAGATGATGTTGCACTGAGTAAATGAAGACCAAACATGACATGCTTTAAAATTGCACATGCCCATGCAAATGCGACAAATTACATAAATTTGTAAAGTGCTGAACATATAGTAATGAAACTGAAGTGCAACAAAATAATTGAATGTCTGTAATATCAGAAAACAGGTTCCTGGCAGGCTAAAATGGCAGCTGGTGCTATTAGGTGCTGAGGAGACCGGACAGAAGAGGCAGACATGGCTAATGCTGGATAAGGAGGGGTGGTCGTCTGTTCTCTACCTGGCCAGGCAGCCTCATCCACCAAGTGTTGGTTGCAAATGAGAATGGAAGACATGTCTCTATCTGGCCTGGATAACAGTAAACTAGAGAGTCTCATGTAAAGATACATGCGCTTCTCCTTAAAAATATGGGCGTTTATGCTGTTGTAGTGGCAGTCATATTTTATGGTCAGTTTTCAATTCACTGGGAGATGGTGATGGCAATTTTGATTGGCGTTGTTTTGCTACAAGCAAGAACAAAGCGTGCGGCGATCATGGGTGCGCGGTGTCCCTCGCACACAGCAGATCACCGATCAACGGAAAGAGCCGAAGATGTCGGCTCAGTCATGTGATCAGCTGTGTCCAATCACAGCTGATCACATGTAAACAGAGAAATGCCAGTTATCAGCATTTCTCTCCTCACGAGCTGTCATGCTGACAGCTCGTGAGGCGAGGAGAGCCGGTAATCGGCGTTCCTCGGAGGGGACATGTACACAGATGATCAGTGTGCCCTGATGATCTGTGTAGCCCCGGGAGTGCCACCTGTCAGTGTCCATCAGTGCAAGCTGTCAGTGCTCATCCATGCCACCTGCCAGTGCCCAACAGTGCCACATCAATGCCTACCAGTGCACATCAATGGCACATATCAATGCCCATTCGAGATGCCTTTCAGTGTCACCCATCATTGCCAGTCAGTGCCACCTATCAATTCCAGTCAGTGCCACATATCAGTGTGCATCAGTGCTGCCTATCAGTGCCCATCAGTGCTGCCTATCAGTGCCACCTAACAGTGACAGTCAGTGACACCTAACAGTGCCAGTCAGTGCCGCCTATCAATGCCAGTCAGTGCTGCCTATCAGTGTCGCCTATCAGTGCCATATATGAGTGCTGCCTTTCAGTGCCCATCAGTGATGCCTGTCAATGCCCATCAGTGCCACCTACCAGTGCCTCATCATCAGTGCCCATCAGTGCCACCTATCAGTGTATATCAGTGCAGCCTATCAGTGCCCATCACTGCAGCCTCATTAGCGCACATCAGTGAAGGAGAAAAATCATTTATTTACAAAATTTTATAACAAAAACTAAGAAAAAAACTTTTTTTTTTTCAAAATTTTTAGCGGTTTTTGCTTTGTTTAAGAAAAAATAAAAAACCCAGAGGTGATTAAATACCACCAAAGTAAAGCTCTATCTATCACAAAAAAATGATAAAAAGTTCATATGGGTACAGTGTTGCATGACCGCACAATTGTCATTCAAAGTGCAACAGCGCTGAGAGCTGGAAATTGGCCTGGGCAGGAAGGGGGTATAAGTGTCCTGTAGCTGACGCCCATCCGCAGTACATTGCGGGCAGGTAGCCCAAAAGTGGTTACAATTGGGAAAGCTAATGCCTCCCTTAGACTTCGGATGAGCCAAATGTATTAAGCTCACTTTAAGGGTCTATCCTTGCCATACAAATGTAGTCAATAGGCCTTGTAAAGATTTGAAGAATGAATTGGCAAAGCCTATAGGAATCACCTGCATTACATAAAAAAACCATGGGAGAACCACCCAAACAAACATGAAGGGCTTCCCACAAAATTTAGTGAACACAAGGCTACAAAGAGGGAAATCTGCAAGTCTGAGGAAAGAGGAAGTGCTGGCAGTGAAGTGGAGGGATAGGAGAGATGTTTATGCCCTGTCCATTATCCACAATGGCATCATGGTGGAAATTCATGGAAGACGAGGGCCCATCCGAAAACCAGAGTGTACCTACAATTACAATTGATTCATGGGGGGGTAGATTTAAACGATCAGATGCTGCAGCCCTATTTATTAACAAGGAAGTCCCTCCTTTGGTATAAAGAAGTTGCAATATACCTTTTCCATACGCCCATTTTTAATGCATACAACACCTATCAAAAGTCAATAGAAAGACCTACCACCTTCCTCAAATTTATAGAAGATGTTGTCACTTTCCTAATCTATCAGCAAGGATCTCCACCAGAAAGTATTTGCTCCGATTGTGTCAGCAGACTTCATAAACACCATTTCCCTGAAGATTCTACCATCAGAAACTGGAAGAAGACACCAAAAAAATGTATGGTATGCCACAGAGGAGGAATTAGGAGAGACACCAGTTTTCATTGTCCCCAATGTCCCTCCCAACCAGACCTATGCATCGGAGATTGCTTCCGACAATATCACACATCACTAAAATATTAGTTCCCCTTATTTTTAACAGTCTGCCATTTCTCCATTTTTGTTATCTGTGCTGATCTGAAGTCTGCTACCATGATTCACTATGCCTCTGCCTTTCATCTTAACTGACCCTGGCCTGTTTGCCGACAATGCCCCTGCCTGCCATCTGGATTGTTTCTAAACTACATTTCTGCCTTCCACCTGAACTGATCCTGGCATGTTTATTGACTATGCCTCTGCCTGCCATCTGGATTGTTTTCAACCACATTTCTGCCTTCCACCTGAATGACCTCAGCCTGTTTATCAACTATGTTTTTTTGCCTGCCGCATGGACTGATGTTTTACCCTGCTACTTTAGTAGTGAGATTCAAGATAACACAGGGGTTTCACATAAATGAGGGGCTTCAGAGTAGAGTTCTGAGTACAAAAAAACAGTTTTTGGTTTTCTCCGGGTTTTGTAATTCCCGGATCAGGACCTGTTAGTCCAGAGGCTTCAAAGGGATTTGGTGGGACAAAGCCTCTACCCCTGTGCCCCAGGCTTACCTGACTAAGGCCCTAAGCCTGATGTTCCTGCCTGCTACCTGGACCAATATTGTGGCTGTGTATATCTCTGCCTGCTTCCTGTACTGACCAATGACTTTTTATGGACCATGTTCCTGCCTGTTGCCTGGACCAATATGCTGTGCTGACCATATCTCCTCTTGCTGCTTGTAATGACCCTTGACTTTTTATGGACCATGTTCATGCCTGCTGCCAGGATGTCAGCCTGCTGCCTGTTCTGACCCTGACCTGTTTATCGAACATTTTCCTGCCTGCTGCCTTGACGATTCCTGTGGCTGTTGCCCGCTTCCTTGTCCAATGCTCTCCTCTCTGGACAACTGCTCTACTAAAACCACAGGTAATATTTTGTCAAAATGTTATATGGTGAGCACTGTGTGTGTCAATAAAGCAGTTAGCACAAGAGATAATGACAGCAAATCTCACAGTAACATATGTGCACAAAGTGCAGTGCTAAAAAAATATATATGCAGTATATATATATATATATAGCATCAAAGAATATTATAACGCACCAAATAAATTTATATACACATTGGTACAAAACAAGTGAAATCATATACCTCGGGGGGCGGAGCCTGACTATGGCGGCGGCGGAGAGATCGTGGACCCCCCCCCTTGGACTCTAAAATTCCCCCCTAGCAGATGGAGCTCTAGAGGGTAGAGACCTACCTCGACCGGGCGGGGCTCCTCTGGCTGAGCGGCTCCCCGGAGTTGAGAGCGGAGACCAGCGGAGTGAGGCAGGGATGCTGAGCCTGGACGCCGAGCCTGGTTGCCGGGTGACAGGGAGGCGCGGCCGGGACATGTGACCGGCCGCAGTGCACCTCTGGGAGGCAAGAAAGCCGGCCGCCCGGCCGGAGGCTGACAGGGAGCAGGAGAGATTCCGCTCTGTCGGACGACCTGCAATCCAGGGAGCCCTAACAGGTGGTCGATGGGGAGCCTCCCCAACAAAGACAAAGAAGAAGAGCATGGAGGAAAGTCCTGGAGGGTCCCCGTGAGAGGAAGAGAGCGGACCTGCTGAAGGAATTGGAGGAAGGAGCCTGGAGCCGTCTCACGAGAAGCGTTGGAGGGGTGAGTGAGTCTGGCGGTGGCCCCAAACACAAAAATTGTATAGAGTTGGAGGAAAGCAGGGAGAGAAAGAAAAGGGGGGGACCCCCAGAGAACAAGAATAAAAATAGGAGAAGAACGCAAGGTGCAGGCAAAGGCATATAGAAAGGTGGGAAGACAAAGCTGGGAATTCTATTTCTACACCTTATTAACTTTTTCGTTTTGCAAAGTATAAGTTTATAAGAGAAAATAAAGGTTACAGAAGAAATGAAAAATAAAAGTGCAAAGGGAACCGGGCCTAAAGGGACACAAACAGGGACAATTAAAAAGTACACATCCCAGGGAAATGTGACCCCAGAAAGGCCCCAGAGCAGAGAAGACAAAGGAGAGTCTGATTTAAGTATGCAAAATAGTCCTAAACAGTCAATGGAATTGGATATCAGTAATCAACAAATATCAGAGACAGAAAAAGAACTACAAATCCCAAATAAAAGAGAGATGACAGAAATGTTCAAAGACCTGGAGAGAACAATAAAGCAAGAAATGGCAAAAATTCGGAATGATCTGGGGCAGTTGTTGTTAAGAGTGCAAGAAACGGAGCAGAAAGTTAAAAGCCAGACCCAGATTATTTCCGAATTAGAGAAGAAGATAATTAATATGGAAAAAGCTCAGGAAAAATTGCAGTACAAGGTGGAAATTCAAGAAAATAGAGAAAGAAGGAGAAATATAAGGATAAGAGGGGTACCGGAAAGTTTAAAAGGAGAAATACTAGAAGAGATGGTTTGCAAAATACTGAACTTTATAATGGGAAACTCTGAAATCGAAAGGACTAATATAGAAGGATTCTCTAGAAACGGGAAACTCCAGGGGAATCATGAGAAAGACAGGCCGAGAGACATACTTGTAAAATTTTATGAATTACAACAAAGGGAAAAAATCTGGAGGAACACTAAGGGAAAATCAGTAATAAAGTATGGAGAAATGGATATTCAAATATATGCGGACTTGTCATCAGAGACTCTCCGGAGGAGGAGAGCTCTGAGGCCTTTGCTGGAGCAGATGAAAAAACAGAAGGTGCAATATAGATGGGGAGTTCCGGAGTGTTTAATAGGATGGAAAAATGGAATAACAGCCCATTTGAGGTTCCCAGAGGACTTGAGAATTTTTTGCAATAGACTTGAAATGCAGAAAATTGAAATAAAGGGTTGGGAAGAAGAATCTGGGGAAGAAAGAGCAGAAGGAAGGGAGGGGTGGAGACGGATGGGGGAGAGGGGGGAGGGGCGGGGAGGGAGAGTGAAGGGGAGAGAGGTGTGTTTTTTTTTTTTTTTTTTTCCCTTTCTCTCTCCTTGCTCCCATTTCATCGCCTCTTTTTTTTTTTTTTTTTCCCTTGTCCCTCCAGCTTGACTCCTGTTTCCTCCTATAGAAAGATGAGTAGAGAGGGGGTCAAGGGGGGGATCCGGATGGAGGGGAGGCTGTCCATGGGAAGAGTGAAGCCCTAAGGTTTAAGTCAAAGGTGGATGCTACTTCCACAAATGACGGTTAGGCAAAGTTAAGGCCTAAAAAGAGGGGGGAGGGAGGGGGTGAGAGGTGGGGTGGGAGGGGGAGGGAGGGGGGGGGAGAGGAAAGGGAATGGGGGGAGTATTGGGAGAGGGGGGGAGGGAGAGGGAGAGAGAAAAGGGTAGAGGGATAAAAACGCTCTATAGGAATAAGAAAGAGGAAGGGAAGGAGGAAGAGGGAGACGGTAGGAAAAGAGTAAGATGGAAGAAATCCAATATATAACCTATAATGTAAAAGGGTTAAGCTGCCCAGGAAAGAGAGGTTAAAGAACTTCAACATAGAAAATCCTCAGTGGTATTTTTGCAGGAAACACATCTAGAGATAGAGTCGAAGGTTAGACTGAAGACTAGACATTTTCCAACATGGTTCTATGCGGATTCACCAACTAAAAGAGCAAAAGGAGTTGCTATAGGCTTCACAAAGAATATAAGGTTCGAGGTGGAGGAGAGATTAACGGATCCAGAGGGGAGGTTTTTATTTTTGAGAGGTAAACTACAGGGAATTGAGTGTACAATAGCAAATATATACAGTCCAAATAAGAGACCAGCGAGGTTTATGAGAGAAGTGCTGAAGA